ATTTGTTTGATGTGTTGCTGGATTCTGTTGGTTAGGATCTTGTGGAATATTTTCGCATCAATGTTCATTAGTGATATTGGTCTAAAATTTTCTTTTCTTGTTGGGTCTTTTCCTGGTTTGGGGATCAAGGTGATGTTTGCTTCATAGAATGTGTTGGTTAGTATTCCATCTTTTTCTATATTTTGGAAAAGGTTGAGTAGTATAGTTGCTAGTTACTCTTTGAAGGTTTGGTAGAATTCTGATGTGAAGCCATCTGGTCCTGGGCTTTTCTTTTTAGGGAGATTTTATATAGTTGATGCTACTTACAAACTTGATATAGGCTTGTTCAGCATTTCCACTTCGTTCTGGCTAAGTCTTGGGAGGTGACGTGCTTCCAAGTATTGGTCGATTTCCTTCAGATTGTCATATTTCTGGGAATAAAGTTTCTTGTAATATTCATGAAGGATTTTTTGAATTTGTAAAGGGTCTGTTGTTATTTCATCTTTACCATTTCTGATTGATGAGATTAAAGACTTTATTCTTTTTTTCTTAGTTAAGTTGGCCAAAGATTTATCAATTTTGTTGATTTTTTCAAAAAACCAACATTTTGATTTGTTGATCTGTTCTATAATCCTTTTGTTTTGTTTCTATAATCCTATTTTTGGTTATTTCTTTTCTTCAGCTGGATTTGGGATTGGAATGTTATGCCTTTTCCAGCTGCCTTAGATGTCCCATTAAGTTGTTGACTTCCTCTCTTTCTGTTTTCTTGAGGAAGGCTTGCAATGCTATAAATTTCCCTCTTATGACTGCCTTTGCGGTATCCCAGAGGTTCTTATCACTCATGTCTTCATTATCATTTTGTTCTAAAAATTTGGTAATTTCCTTCTTGATCTCATCTCTGACCCATCTATCATTCACCATAAGGTTATTTAGCTTCCATATTTTTGTATGAGTCTGTATATTCCTGTTGTTATTGAGTTCAACTTTTATTCCATGATGGTCCAAGAAGATGTATAGAATAATTTCTATTCTTTTAAATTTGCTAAGGTTAGACTTGTGACCTAAGATGTAATCAATTTTGGAATATGTTCTGTGGATTGATGAGAAAAATGTGTATTCAGTTTTATTAGGATGAAATGTTCTGTAGATGTCTGTTAAATTCAAAAGTTGAATAGTTAAATTTAAATCTAAAGTTTCTTTGCTATAAGCTTTTTTTTTTGGATGATCTATCCAACACTGCTAACAGAGTGTTAA